CTGTGACTAGTAGCTCAAATTCAAAAGGTGTGGCAAGAGAAGGAATGAGTGATTGTTTAGTTTTCTTACCTATGCTTATCAATTAGAGCAAGCTGGAGTGTGATCGCCTCTTTTGCTGTGTAACCCCTTTGTAGTTATTTGGTTCTAACATTTCAAACTGCTTACTTCACCTGTCAAGCAGGGACAGAATACCCAAAATAAGAAGAGTGACTGCTGAAGAGAATCAGTAGAAGCACTTATCTCCTTTTATGTAAGGAGTTTTCTACTTCACACCAGCAGGTGTAAATCGTAAAATGTCTCTAAGATTGTTTGCTTTTGCAAAAGGCTACATTTCAGCTGGCTGAATAAGAGCCTTTATTAAGCATGTGTTTTACAAGTTGAACCTACACATATTTACTTAGAAGGCGCTGTGGATTAAACCACAGAGCCTAGGGCTTGCCAATCAGAAGGTCGATGGGGTGAGCTCCTGTTGCTCAGTCCCTGCTCCTGCCAACCTAGCTGTTTGAAATAACAAAGGGCAAGTAGATAAATAGGTACCGCTCCGGCGGGAAGGTAAACGGCTTTTCCGTGCACTGCTCTGGTTCACCAGAAGCGGCTTAGTCATGCTGGCCACATGACCTGGAAGCTGTACGCCGGGTCCCTCGGCCAGTAAAGTGAGATGAGCGCCGCAACCCCAGAATCATCCGCGACTGGACCTAACAGTCAGGGGTCCCTTTATCTTTTACTATGGAGTTCAGTGGAGATTACTTTCAAATAAGCATACATAGGATTGCAGTCTTACAATCAAAATATAGTTATGAGCAGCTGGAGGTTAGACTGCTTTGTAATTGGAATATGGCAGTTTCCCCATTCACCCATTGTTTGAACTGAACAATGAGCTCACCCCGTATACTGACGACCTTCCGATCAGCAAGCCCAAAAGGCTCAGTGGTTTAAACCACAGTGCCATCCACTCGCAAGCTCCTTTACCTTTACCTAGCTACTTCGTAATTGGAATATGGCAGTTTTCCCATCCACCCATTGTTTGAACTGAACTGAACTGAACTGAGAGTTTTATTTTTTCTCTCTCTCTTTTTTAAAATGAAACTTTCTGGGCTAATGCAGTGGTTCTCAAACTTTTTTTCTCTGGGGCAAGCTTTCAGAATAAAACTGTGCTTGTGCCACAGTGAATTTTTTTTATTGATAAGATAAACATTGGAGAACACAATGCCACCCAATGCTATTCCTGTTTGCATTAAAATCATAGTAGTCATAGCCAGATTATTTGTATTCTGCTTTTAGGTATATTAAGTGTGCTGGGATTTCTGGTTATGTGAGGGGTCTCCTAACAACTCTCAGTGCCCTTAACAAACTACAGTTCCCAGGATTATTTAGGGGAAGCCACTTTCGTTCATATGGTATAAGAGTCTTTGGGGGGGTGAGCCATGATTGTTCAAGTAGTATAAAAGTGCCCCAAATTTATGGTGTGAATGTGATCCCAATTATAGTCAAGGTCTCTCACACACAAACACACGCCTGTTACTATATAAAAGACAATTCAGAACAATTTAGTAATAAATGAATAATAAAATAACATAGCTAGACAATTAAGAATGCTTATTACCAGCAAGGGCAAAGTGAAGCTCACTCTGGCCTGAGCAGTTGTAGCAACTGCAGAAGCCAGTCCTTAGCACCTGGTGTAATAATAATAATAATAATAATAATAATAATAATAATAATAATTTATTTATACCCCACCCACTCTGGGCGGCTTCCAACAAAACACTAAAATACAATAACCTATTAAACATTAAAAGCTTCCCTAAACAGGGCTGCCTTCAGATGTCTTCTAACAGTTTGTTTTAAAAGTTTGTTACTAGGAAAAGAATGAGAAACACTTCAGGCTTAAGGTAAAATGGCTGGTAGCAAAGCTCTCTCTTCTGGTGATGGTGGGAAAAGCAGCAGTAGTATGGGCCCTTTAGAAAAACTGTGAAGAGGGAGGAGGGCCAAATATTAATAGGAAGAGGGTAAAACACCCTGTGTCCATGGGCGTAGCCAAGGGGGGGCCAGGGGGGAGCTGCCTCTGAATCAATATAAATCAATACAAATCTAAGGTTCTCCCCCCCCCCCAATAACCTGCTCCCTAACAAAAAATCCTGGCTATGCCCATGCTGCGGTCTATGATTAGTGGCAGGTGGCAATGGTGATGGTAAGCCACAGTGTTCTTAAGAAAAGTATCCCTAGGTAACTGTGCACAGGAATCCAGCCTCATTGTCTAAATGTGCTTAGGACTGCAACCTTGAGTTCTGGTCCTATATATGTTTACTCATAGAAGCAAATCCAGTTGAGTTTAGCATGGTTATACCCAAGTAAGTAGCTCTAGAAATGTATTGGCATCAGGTTCTGAATATGTTTTCCTAGGAAAGGATCCCTGTGGATAATGTGGTAAAGCTTTGTGCCACTTGAAAACAATGGGCAGCTCATATAAAATATGCCAACATTTAATTTTCTAAATTATAGAGGAATGTATGATATGAAGGCATTTGTGCTTTGCCAGTGGAAGTCAAAAGCTGCAGCTGATGGAGCATGTGTGAAAAGAACATGTTATTTCCATAGTTGCTACTTCTGATCCATGTTATTTCCACAGTTGATATGTCACCCTAACTGTATCTACTCAGCTGTGGCAATGTGCAGGAAGCATCCAGTACATACAAAACAGTAAATTACATCCTTAACACAATTCTGTAATGCCCACAGAGAAAGCATTAAGCGAAAAACAAACCAAGCATTAGCATGTTATGAAATAAAAATGGGAGAAATTAAGCCTGCATCGCTGAAGTGCAAATAAACACAAAAGGAACAGATGCTCAGACCAAAAATGGGTTGTAGGCACAAGAATATGGGCACAATTAACTGCAGGTGCAAAACCAGAGACCCAGCTGCAAAACTCCCATGTTTTCACACCGAGATATATATTTTTGTTGGGGTACTCAGTCCCATGCAACATATTAGCAAGTGTTAATATTCACCAAACATGATCGTGGGCAGCCTGGTCCTATGGTCCAGCTAAAATGGATATCCTTGGGAACCAATGTTTCTTCATTTCAAAATATCTCTCTTGTCCTAATGATCAGAAAGCTGTTGAGTAAGATAATGTGTATTATTATTATTATTATTATTATTATTATTATTATTATTATTATTACTATTATTATTATTATTCTGCCCTAAAACCTGAGGTTTCAGGGCAGTTCACATAAAAAGATCACAGTATATAAAATTAAAATAAAAGCAAAAACCAAATAATACCTCCTGTATCACAGGAGTAGAAATTTGACAACTTTTCAGCAGGCTAAAGGTGGAGTGGCAAGGGCTACAGGCAGGCAGCCTGTTACAGAAGGTGGCTTCTCCTACTATGCAACCCAATTTTTGAATTGTGGCAGGGAAATCATGTACACAGGACACATTAGTGCATGCAGTTTCCTATCCAGATGGGGAAAGGCACATGGAAGTCAGCTTCAATGTATATAGAGCTCTAGTTGGCTCCGGGTAAAGGGATTCAGATATAGATTTCAGAACAGAAGAAGACACCTTCACCCCGGTATGGCTCCCCTTTATCACATACACAGCCCAACAAGACAATGACAATAATCCACCAACAGCATACAAATCAATATGGCTAACCTGATCCAAAACACCCACCCACCTCACTCAAACACGAAAACAAATATCACCACAGCCAATCACAAACAAACAATCACACCCTAGGCCAACCCCAACCTCTCTCACCACCAAAGGAACACAAGTGAACAACACAAGCAACGCTGACACCAAACTCTACATACATTAAGCATAATATAAACATCGCCACCCAACCCCAACCCCATCCATCTTCCCTCCCTCCACCCCCCTTTCTTTTTTCTTTCTTTTTCTTTTTTCTTCTCCCCCTAATGCCTCAACAAATGAAACGGATTTGTAAAAATGTTACATGGAAAAAAAATACGAGGCATTACACTTCTGTAAAACAAGAAAATCCTTTATAAAATATTATAAGACACAAAAAAAGATATAGATTCCAGCTCATTTAATAACTGCATAAAGGTAATCAGATTTTGAAATAATAATTACAAAGTTTGTAAGATCCCCCATTATATTGTCTAGATGTTGATTGTGATTTGTAAATAATCTCTATCTCTCTTGTAGCTACCACTATTGCATCATGTGAGCACACACATGTAGTACTTGAAGAATGATGTATATTGCTGATAATCTACTTTTCTAACCCAGGGGTCAGCAAACTTTTTCTGCAGGGGGCCGGTCCACTGTCCCTCAGACCTTGTGGGGGGCTGGAATAAATTTTGGGGGGAAATCCCCCCCAACCGACTCTCTCCTCCCTTCTTCACAGCACCAGACGAGCCCCGGTGACTGCTTACCTGTGCCTTGCGAGTGGCAGGGGCTGGTGGCGGTGAGATGATGAGTGGTGCAAAAGGGCTGTCTCCGGAGAGGGGCTGCTTAAAATGGTGCTCAACCAACTGTGGTTCAACAAAACCCAGCCCCCTTCCTCCTCTAGGCAGGGCAGGGAGAAGCCAGGAGGGGGGGAGGCACTGCCGTGGTGTGTATGAGGGAGGGGGGTAATGGCGCAGCCCGAATGATCAGAATCACCACTCCAATCCATGCGGCGATTCCTGGACCGTCCGCGGGCCGGATCCACAAGGCAATTGGGCCGGCTCTGTCTCTGTCTCCTGGGCCTTAGCTTGCCAACCCATGATCTAACCCCCTGCTGCAGAGCACCTTATACCTGCACAAGTGACGCTGACACAAAACTCCACACATACATTAAGTAAAATAGAAACATCGCCACCAGACCCCACCCCAATCCATCATGGCCCCTCCACCTCTTCCCCCCTTTTTCTTCCTAATGTAACACTAATGTCTCAGCAAATGAATCTGACCTGTAGAAAATGTAACTTGGAAAAAAAGAGACATTGCGCATACTTTTGTAAACCAAGAAATCTTTAATAAAAAATACATTTAAAAAAATGAAGGTGAGGTATGAAGAAGTGTGAGATTAAAACAAATGCTCAATATAACAACAAGGCAAGAAATGGTTCTTGTTTCTTCTGGAATGATGTTGTCCATCACTGGGTTTTTAGAATCTAATTGATGCCATAAGGCTTCAGGGTGGGGGGATGGTAATAATGAGCTACTATGCTACCAAGAGCAATAGAATGAAGAAATCAAAGTCTGCAGGAGGTGATAATAGAACTGTAACAACAATAGTTTCTCAGCACCTCAATAACCAAATAACCCATTTATAGATTAGTGCAGACTGTTACTATAGAATGTATGCTCTACATTGTATGTCAGACAAGTTATCGTGTGGATTCTAGCTTAATTCAGTGCCCTTATGTACACTTTTAATTCAACGTCCTTTTCTACTTGCTGACTCTTGAGACTATTAGCTCTACAAATGTCATGCATTATTTGCACAGCCAAATAGAACTTTGCTTTGTTCATATTATCAGATATACTATTCTCTTCTAGTCTCTATTAAGCATTCAAATTCACATGACTTTGTTTACACAAAGCTGTGACATGCTGATCTATCAATGTCTCTCTTGAGAATTGATTTAATGTACAAACAATGCTAGCTTTGGACACAGATTACAGCATTCTTTTCCTCTTTATATACTGGGTTTTTTAGCTTTTGCTGCAGGTATGAAGTTCCTAAACGGAAGAGAAAAAAGCAACCTGGCAAGTTAATAAAAGAAAACAAATCTAGACCAGGGGTACCCAATTTATATATTTTTGAAGGCAATTCTAACATCAAATATGTATGTTACAAACATATATAACCTAAAAGCAAGATAGGATAGAACACTGAAGTTGAAAATATTCATATTTTCCTTACAAATTAAAATGTGGGTAAACTTTTTATGTTGCTGCTTAATTAAAATTGGGTAGGGGCAGCAACATGCACCACCAGCGTGGCAAAACACATGTCTGCGGTGTATTCATGTCCATGTGTGATGGCAAGGCTTGCCCTATAGTGAGAAATGAATCTGAGGAATCTAATGCTGCTCATCCAAGCTCACTGTGGAAAAAGAAAGGAAGTAGGAGTTTGTGAACATTCTCCAGTGACATCTTCTGCTGTCTCATATCTAAGTTGTCGGCAGAGGGATAGTGGCTTGCTGGACTAAAGCAAGCACAACCCTGCTTGAAACAGGCTGTGAGCAGGGCTGTCCTTGCACCAATCCTGCTTGTAGCAGTTTTTGGTGATCACTCCTGCTTGAAATGCGCACATCACCTCTACTAGCAACTGAACAAGGCTCCAGCCTCACCTGATGTATCTGTTGCATTTGTCAACCCTCCATGAGTGCTGAACTGAGGCTGTGTTCATATAACTATGTTATCTGCAAAAAATCAATAAATAACATTTTTAAAGGCTTGTCCTAGTCAATATCATTCAAGTGAAATATTTGCAGTGACACTGTCATTGTTTTTTAGTGTGTGCTGTTGTTTGTCTTTTCAAATTTTAGAACAGAAAATGTAACACTTATAATATTGATTATCCTTTCTCCCGAGGCCAGCATAAAATGTGTGAATATGCTAGCAAAATTAATATTTCATTAAAGGAAGGATTACATTTCTTATACAGTTACAGCTACACATGTAAGTTAAGTTATTTGAACTATGATTTTGGCAATGTTATATGCTTGGGTAATTTTCAGCTTCTCGTCGCATGGTGCTAGGTAACGAATCAGCATTAGAACAGGCTGTCAGAATGCTTTCACATGGTTCTAGAACACACATTCTTTAGGACAGGTTCTGAAGGCAGGCTTATTAAAGCTAAGGCATCTACATCTGGGCAGTGCCTGAATGAGAAGACCATTTGCATTCCTAACCAATTTCACTGGCTGGCACAGAAATAGGACTTAAGACACAGATCTTAGATCGCCAGCAGGATCACACAGATGCAGGGTGCAAACTATTTAAGAATTAAAAGTTAATGACGAGAGCCCAGGCAGCTGGAAGTAAAGTCCCACTATGGGCAAGCACGAGGCATGGAGACCCCCCCTCCCGGATGGAGGCAGTCCTGGAACAGCGCTCCAACCTGAGTTCCTGCTTCCTGTTGACTCAAACCCTGACACCCAGGTGGCTGTGTTTTGCATTAAGTTTCTGAATTATCATTGAGAGACTGCCACCACCCCCAACCCCCGAGCACTGAAGCAACCAAAGCTAAGCCATGCTGCTCCAGATAGGGCCACAGCTGTCATAGCTGTCAACTTTTCCCTTTTCTTGCGAGGAATCCTATTACGAATAAGGGAATTTCCCTTAAAAAAAGCGAAACGTTGACAGCTATGGCTGATATACAAGCCTGAGAAGGTAGAATGCACTCCTTGCCACAACTGCTACCTGTACCTCCCAGACAGTGATGATACCTAGATACCTGTTTGCCTTGTTAACTATAAAACACCTAGATACCTGGTTAAGAAACAATTTTCCAAATTACCGGTAATTGATATTATAATTTGGCTATCATTGGGGGAATATTGGAAAATTAATAAAAACTTATTTGTTGAAGAAGAAACAATTTTCCATATGCCATAAACTAGTGTTTATGGGGGAATAATAATTGTTGCTGTAACATGAGCACTTTTACAAGGCTTTTAAGATAGTCCTCAGTTTCTTATATGCCTTATTTATACACTGCACTTTCTGAACAAATAAAAATTACTGCTGAAGGAAGTCACTAAAGGGCTATTACTATTTAAAGTACTTTTGTCAACATTTTATCTACTTTCAACAGACATGGCTATTCCTTAAAATAATATGATGTATAATAGAAACAGCTATTAATCACAATATGTAATTATAAAGATGTACTGCCAGACCAGTACTTAAATGTACCATTGAAACATTATTTAAACCTCATTGGAATTAATGAGAAGTACAGAATAATATTTAAATTGTGTAAAAGCTCAAATTCTTGTCACCTTTTTGCCTCTCTCAGTATTAAAACTTTTATTCAGAAGTATGTTGCCAACCTCACAGATTATCAGATACTATCTTGGAATATGGCTGCAAGGAGAACCCATACTGATTTCATTAGACATTGAGTTAATGAGTTTTGCTATAATTCAGTGGATCTAGTGACAAATAGGTATAGCTTCCTAGCATTTATAATTAATATACTAGGAATCCATGGCTTTCTGTATGTATGATATTCAGCAACATACACATTCAGATTATATGCTTTTGATGACACACTCTTTGATAACATGCTATGGAAGGAAGAGCATAAACAATCTGAGTGAATAGTGAAAAAATCACTGATACAGTAATTGCATTCTCCAGTGTCTTAAATTCGTGGTTTTCAAACTGTTCCTAAGAACCCTGGGATTCCTCGGGATCTTCTCAGGAGGTTCTTAGTGTGAAAATCAGCAATGTCAGAAAGACATCTTATTCACCACTACTGAACTTCCTCTATGACCGGGGAAGGGGGACCTGTCACTGACTTCAGTTCCCATCAGCTCCAGCCAGCATGTTCAGGGATGATGGGAGTTGTAGTCCAGCAATATCTGTTGAGCTGTAAATTCCCCACCCATATCCTACAATGTCTTATATTGAGAAAACACTGGACACATTATAGTGATCAAGAGTCCATTTTGAGGATGAGCAATTACCTAAACCTTTGTGGCTTCACTGGCACTCTAGAACAGGATAGCAATGTAATGCTCTCCAGATATTGTTCTATTACAACTCCCATCAGCCCCAGCCAGCCTAGCCAATGGGTCAGAGATGAAAAGAGTTGTAGTCCAACAACATATGGAAGACAAAATGTTGGCTACCCCTGTTCTCGAATGTGTTCTAGAATGCTTCGCCACATATAGGGCTTCTGCAAGCAGGACCCAGCACAAAATTATGCAGTATGGAGAGCTTCTGTTCATGGTTTCAGCCACTCCAATCCATTCTTCCTTCCAGTTTCCTGTCCCCCCAACTGACCCCAAAGTCTGTATTTAGTGTCTAGTAAGCATTCTCAGTCCTCATTGACTTGGGTTTCTTCCTCCATTTTTACATTTTTTTTAGGGCAGGTACTACATCAAAATCATTGATTTCTCCATTGATGTCTATGGCAGCTATCTGAAGTTCCTTGGAACATTTTCAAATCATTTTTGGTTGTGGAACAGGAATAATAATAATACTTTTATTATTTATACCCCACCCATCTGGCTGGGTTTCCCCAGCCACTCTGGGCGGCTTCCAACAGGATATTAAAAACACACTAAAAGGTCAACATTAAAAACTTCCCTAAACAGGGCTGCCTTCAGATGTCTTCCAAAAGTCAGATAGTTGTTTATTTCCTTGACATCTGATGGGCATTCCACAGGGCGGGCACCACTACCAAGAAGACCCTCTGGCTGGTTCCCTGTAACCTCACTTCTTGCAGTGAGGACTAGTCCTGTCCTATGACAACTTGCAAAGGTTGCAGTACTCTGAAAATGCCACGGCTTGTCTTTCTACACCGGTGGTTTTGCTTTATTTATTTGACATTTCTGCCTCCACCTCCCCCCAATTGGCATGTATGGCATTATCTCATTTTATCTCCACAACAATTTTGTGTGGTAGGTTAGGGAAAGAGGTCATGACTTACCCAAGGCTATGCGGTGGCTTTGTGACTAAGCAGGGACTTGAATGCGGGTCTCACCCACTCTTGCCCAACATTTATCCACTTCATCCAAGTTGGTTCTTGTATAGTTATCAAGATTATTTGATGAATGCAAATCTTCTCTCTAGAAGGTGGATGTCACTACAAAGCTAACAGAAGTGCTGATATATTTGCAATCAATGTTTCCCATCACAGAACAGGGATTTCCCTAATGAGAAGAAAGGTATAAATATAGCATCGAGCTGGTGAACCATTGCGGCTAAGAATATGAACAATGAACTTAGGTCCCCTGCTTCAAATTTCACCCTGGCCTTAAACTCACTAGGCTACATTAGGCAAACCACAACCTCTCAGCCTCTGCCCTGCATCTGCAATATGGAGATAACTGACCTACTTAGAGAGTTGTTTTAAGAATAGGCTATGAAACAATTCACCCATGGAAGGTGTTTTAATCTACTTTAGTTTGTTATTTTGATCCAAATGGGAATATATTGCTTTTCTATAACTTCTGTAACTTTAAAACCATTTTCCATCTTAAAACTATTTTCCACCATCAGCCTAGATAGCTCAGTTGGTTAGAGCATGGTGGTGACGCCAAAGTTGCAGGTTCAATCCTCATAAGGGACAGCTGCATATTCCTGCATTGCAGATGTTGGACTAAATGATCCTCAGGTTTCCTTCCAACATTATGATTCTAATAAACTTTTATCTTGTTTCATAAACCTATGTAGTCTCAGCTTGCTGTAAGCACTCTCGTGCCTGGAAACCATACCTTGTGTTACCTTGAGAGGCTTCAGGGAGACCCCAGGGGAGAGTTTAGGCTGATTCATAAGGGGTAAGGTAAAGGTAAAGGGACCCCTGCCTATTAGGTCCAGTCGTGGCCAACTCTGCGGTTGCGGCGCTCATCTCACTTTACTGGCTGAGGGAGCCAGTGTACAGCTTCCGGGTCATGTGGCCAGCATGACTAAGCCGCTTCTGGTGAACCAGAGCAGCGCACGGAAACACCGTTTACCTTCCTGCTGGAGCAGTACCTACCGGTATTTATCAACTTGCACTTTGATGTGCTTTCGCACTGCTAGGTTGGCAGGAGCAGGGACCAAACAATGGGAGCTCACTCCATCACGGGGATTCGAACCGCCGACCTCCTATCGGCAAGTCCTTGGCTCTGTGGTTTAACCCACAGTACTACCCGTGTCCCTTTTTCATAAGGGGTAGCCTGGTATATACACTCTCCACTTTTATCTGGTAGGCGTAGGGTGGCCCACCACTTCTAATACTCCCTTTCCAATACCCCTTTCCCTGAGTAGCACAGGAAATAGGGGATCCTGCAGGAGGCACCATAACAATGGTACGCAATGGGCTCTGGGATCCTTCAGGTGAGCAAAACCTTTTTACAATTCAATATGTTATGTATCTTCAGGTAGAACAGAATCATGAGTGCTGATAGCATCTTTATCTGTTTAACGTTATAGCTGGGAGCTGTTATGCTCTGAAGCTGCTCACTGGCACTGTCTGTCAAACCCACTGCCTCAGCTTTCAAAAAGCTGTACTTGTCAGTTTTCATATTATGCACATATCACATGGTAAATCAAATGATTGAAGAAAAACTATCAGTACCACCCCCCCCTCAAAAAAACCCCAGATTTTGTTGCCAAGCTGTGGTGATTCAGCCAAAGCAGAAGACCTATGAAACATTATAAAGGGTAAAGGGACCCCTGACCATTAGGTCCAGTCGTGACCGACTCTGGGGTTACGGCACTCATCTCGCTTTATTGGCTGAGGGAGCCGGCGTACAGCTTCCAGGTTATGTGGCCAGCATGACTAAGCCGCTTCTGGCGAACCAGAGCAGCGCACGGAAACATCATTTACCTTCCTGCTTCCCGCAAAAGCACCTTTGATGTGCTTTTGAACTGCTAGGTTGGTAGGAGCAGGGACTGAGCAACGGGAGCTCACCACGTCGCGGGGATTCGAACCGCCGACCTTCTGATCGGCAAGCCCTAGGCTCTGTGGTTTAACCCGCAGCGCCACCTGCGTCCCCATTAAACATTATAGAATGGTATAAAAGCATATGTGGGGTTTTCTTTTTTAAGCCAGTTTGTCTGTCACTTGCTCTCACTGCTCATTTGCACCTGTGGATCTCCTTTATCAGGACAGTTAAGGATTTAACATTCCATACAACTGCTACTAGCACTGATTATTTTTCATATTGTAATGGCAGGTTAGATACTTCACAAAACAACAAATGATGTGCTCCCTCTTCCATTTCAACCCCCTTTCACAAACTCTACTTTCTCTACCCTCATGCTCCCATCCATCATTGCGGTTATTGCTTCAGTTAGAAGTGAGACTGCGGCCCACATAGAACCGTTTTTCATTAGGATTGTTTGACTATATACAGGACTGGGGACGCGGGTGGCGCTGTGAGGTAAAAGCCTCAGCGCCTAGGGCTTGCTTGCTCGAAGGTCGGACGGTTCGAATCCCCGCGGTGGGGTGGCGTTCCCCATTGCTCGCTCCCAGCGCCTGCCAAACCTAAGCAGTTCGAAAAGCACCGCTGGGTGCAAGTAGATAAATAGGGACCGCTACTGGCGGGAAGGTAAAACGTTCGGTGTTTCCGTGTGCGTGCGCTGGCTCACCACGATGGCAGCTTTGTCACGCTGGCCACAGTGACCGCGGAAGTGTCTGCGGACAGCGCTGGCCCTTGGGCCTCTTGAAGTGAATGGGCGCACAAACCCTAGAGTCTGTCAAGACTCGGCCCGTCCGGGCAGGGGTACCCTTTACCTTTACCTTATATACAGAGCTGTTGGCAATTTAGACTGCAATTTCAAAGTCCACTTACCCATGAATAAGCCCTACTGAATTCAATTGGACTTACTTCTGAGTAGACATGGTTCAGATTGCAGCTTGAATGATGAGACCTAGTTGGAGGGGTTTGTCAAACATTTGGACATTGGAAAGAGTATAAATGCAAAGTATAATTAAGCCATACTAGTAACCTTTGATGACAGGTGTTTAGGCCCTGCTCCAGGTTGTAGGAACCCTGGATGAGTTTCTATTGGTGGTACTGCCAGACTTCCCCTCTCCCAAACAAGTAAACAATCAGGTAGGCTTACCTGTTGGCAGTGATGTAAAGAGCTAGGAGACAAGTGACCACTGATTAGCAGCTTGTAGCTGACACATTTCATCTTGCACAGCACTGTTAGAGATTAAATGTGGCAGCTGCCAGGCACCCACCTGAGCTAAGTACCGGTATCCCTTTTGCTCCCAGGCCATTACAGTGATACCCTGGCAGGTAAGCACACCTGGTGGAATCGATGCCAAGTGATGGCTGGGGATGGTGACAGACGTCCAGGCAAAGCATCAGCTCAGCTATCCCCTGCTGGAGTGTGTGGATGGTAGCAACTGCTCCCGTATGCTGAACACCAATGCTGGGCTTGTAGATGCTGGCCAAAAAACTTCAGTATTTTTTTTTTAAGATTCAGCATTCAATTCAAGACTATCCTAAAAGAGTCAGGATAGTATAGTGGTTAGAGTGTCAGACTAGGGCTCAGGAGACCCCCATTCAAATCCCCCCTCAGCCATGAAGCTCACTAGGTGTCCTTGGCCGTTCACTATTTCTCCGCCTAACCTACCTCACAGGGTTATTATTAGGATAATGGGGGGGGACCCTCAACACTGTCTTGAGATCCTAGCAGGAAAAGTGAGATGTGAAAATCTAATAAATAAAATGGGGGATAAATAAATAAAAAACTCTGAGGAAAGTTAGATGAAAACGAATTATTCCATCTCTAATACATGTTAATACCCCCCTACATATTTGTACTTATTTATAATATCCAAAGGGATGTCAAAAGATTTGAGTTTTCCCCATCCCATTAGCTGTGGCTGTTCATATGCCATGTGTTCTGCTAAAGTAAAAGGAATTACCAAACACCTCTCATTTATTGTTTATTATAGTTAAACTGAAGTCAGTTTTACACAAATATCTGCAGTTTCCCCTTCAGTGATTTGAAGTTACAGGTACACAATTCATGGAATATAGCCTAACAGCTCAGTCCTCTGTCTTTCTCAGATAAAAAGTCCCATAATGTTCAGTGGGACTGACTGTTGCCAATTGTGGCTAATGAGTTGAGCCTGACTTGAGATTAGACTCCATTTCTTAGTGGCACTTACTTTTGAGTAAACAAGCATGGGATCAGGTTGCACGTCTGATATGAATTACTGGGTACTAGACTTTTCATCCTATTTTCTTAATTTACTTTTTAAAGAACTGAAACTTAGTTAATGGGAGATATAAAGCACTGTCTGCCTAAGGAAAATGTGTCCCAGTGGTGATATTAGACAAAAAGCATGAAAAATGTTTTTCAAAACACTAGAGTGCATAAAGCATTAATGAACATTAATGTCTAGAACTGCATATATTACATGAAAAAGGATGTGTATGTGTTTAAATTACAAATCACATTCTTTATGTTGTTATGGTTTTTTGGGTTTATTCTTTTTAAATAGCAGTTCTGTTTTTTAAAAAAATCGCATCATGGAGTGACATATATTTCTGAATACACAAATTAATGTTTAAAAGATTATGAGAATCTTTAAAAGCCAATAATTTCTTTAAAATCTCATATAAAGTGTGATCTAGCTGTCTGATTCTTGGGTTCTGTATGCTTTGGCACAACAGAAGAAACAGAATCATTTCTCTTCATACTCCTGAGAGAAACTTCACTGGACCGTACCATTACCCAGATAAAAAAGGAAGATGACTTATTGTTATCCATTAATTTGCATATTTCTTTTTTAAAAACGTTATAAATGAATCCATAATATCATTGTAAAAATGTTAAAGTATGCATCTATGAAATAAAATGGTCAAACCTGAGGTAAATATTTGAGGGCAAATATGGACTCTTTCCTAAAAGGAGTTTAGTGGCCTAGTCCGTTGTCTGAGGGGAATAGAAAGGCGAAGGATTTCTTCAAGTCAAAGGGCCACTCTGGAAATCTTACAGGGCTTCATAGCTATATCTTAGGAGACTTTATGAGTCCCTCTTAATTATTTTGAGGATATAGTATACTGTATTGTAAAGTCTGTTGGGAGCACCATTTGACATCAGAATCACTACCCCCCCCCTACAATTCAAGCAAGGGTAATTTCCAGATTTTCTTCATGATAATGAGATAAAAAAAGGGAACTATCAAGAGAGACATTTGCTTAAATGTTGTTCACTGCTTTGTGTATTTGTAATTAAAAGGTGTTTTGAAGTGTATTTAATGAGCAAGCATTAGATATTCAGCCCATATGAGAGACAAGGATTACCTTCTGAGTAATTGATGGCAATGAGCAGGTGAGGAGAGAGTAATTTCTAAACACACCTAATATAAACTGAGTAAAACACATAGTTGTGGTGGTTTGCTTTTTAAAAAAAAAAGATTAATCACATGAAATAGTTATCTGAAGTCCTATGGGGCAGTTGTTCTCTTAATCCTTGCTAAAATTCTATAGGATTTAAATATTTTGGAATTTTTTTAAAGGTACTCTGAGGAGATGTTTGGCTGGATCATATGGGTTTACCTAATGATGGGTCTTTTTGTTTATGTGCTTCCAGAATGGCTGAAAAACTTTAATAATGTGGTGCTATGCATGTCTACTCAGAAGTAAGACCCATTAAGAACATTAAATTCAATGGCGCTTACCATCAAGCAAGTGTACATAGAATTTCAGACCTTAAATCAATTCAGGATTTTAATGTTTGTATGTTGTTTTATTGTATATTTGAATGCTGCTTATTTTTTATGATATTATGCAATCTAGAATTTTTCTCAGATAATAATTTAATGGTACTAGATGCAGAATAGACTCACTGAAATGAATGGACAAGTTACTGGACTCGATTTATTTCAGCACATCTACTCTGAGAATGACTAAAATCTCATCATTATTAGCAATTGGTGACTGGTTTTTCATTGTTAAAGGGAAATTGAGAGTAGGTTATAAGCATTGTTATCGCATGTTAAAACTTTTAAACATTCTATTTTAGGTCTTATTACTTAAAACATAGATTTACAGTGCATCATTTATGTGGAAGAATAAAGAATCACAAATCTATGACAAGGTAAGGAGGAAGCAAGAAAAGGTAAGAAAATACAAATGTTTTTCTGTCCGAAACTTCCAACATTCAGCTTCATAGGATGGCCCCAAGTATTATGAGAAAGTGAGAAAAAATTCACTTTCTCCACACTATGCATAATATAATGTCTCCTAATAACCCTTCCTTTTCAAACTAAAAAAGCCCAAAATGATGTTTTCAAAACAGGGGAATTGCTCCAGCCGCTTGATAATTTCAATTGTCCGTTTCCAGTTGCATGAGTTCAGGAGAAGGTGTCACCGCTCACCCCCGGGCATGGAGGTGATAAAGTAGGCCCAGGCCCAAGGACATGATAGAGTCCTACTCTTCTCATGTGATACTAATGTGTGGGGAAATTTAAATGTCCAAAGAGGCTATTGTATTCTAAAAACATTACACCATGACTAATGGGAGAATGCGTGAAAAATGCAAAAACATGAAGTATGTTTTTCTGCTCCCCGCTGCATGAATATTTTGGACATAATCTACAACAAAGGTAACTATGAAACTATCTTAGATAACATCTCATTCTTATTACTTTGAAAATTATTTCATTAAACCCAAGTATTTCCGTTAAAGCTTGCAAAACGCATACAATGCAAATTAATCGTCTTCAATTCCAGATTATATTCCAGTCTAAAAGAGCTATTTTGTTGATACATTTGGTACGTGGTAAGGGCAAGCAAAGCAGTATGCAATGAGTGAAAACCTTATGAGAGAAATATTGGACATGTAGGTTTGTACCAGTCAAGTTGTCACTGTAGTAGTTGAAAGTAGTATATGGATTAGCTATTCACCATCTAAAGAAAAGTTAAATGTATTTGAACTTGTTAGTCTTTATGGTGCTAGAAAACTCTTTGTTGCACTTAAATTGCTCCATTTGTATCCCAAGGTTAGAACAGCATTTTATCCTGTGAAATTGCAAATTCCAGTGGGTTAGCTGTGTTAGTGTATAAAAGCAAAGACAAAAAGGATCATGTGACACCTTAAAGACTAAAAAATGTATTGTGTTCATGAATGCTGTTGCCTGAGTCTTTGCCTTTAAAGTAAAAGACTATTATTTGGGCTTATTGCAAGCTAGGCTTGGTTAACTTGCCCAAGGCTACACTGTGAATTTCAGAGTCAAGTAAGAATTTGAACCCAGATTTTGGTATCCCAACTCAACACTCTCTTAGAGAGGGTATTACTCATTTTGTACTATTGATACCACTGGAGTAATGTTTCTGACATCTAGAAGTAACAAAAGGCTCAGTAGTTTAGACCAGGGGTCAGCAACCTAAGCCCCATGGGCTGGAAGCAGCCCGCAGAGGTCGTTCACCGGCCCACGAACAGAGCTGCCCGCTCGTGTGCTGCGATAAACTGGCGCCGTGTGGCACGGGGACCCGCTTCTGCGGTGCTGGAAATCACATCTGCACATGCGCAGACGTTCAAAATCGCGTCTGCGCAGACACAGATGCCGAAAATTGCACGCGCGGGGGGGGGGGGAGGGTTCACGATCCAGCCCACGGAGGATCTCTGCCGGACCGATCCGGCCCAGGCAAGATAAACCTTGCTGACCCCTGGTTTAGACCACAGCACCACCCACTTGGTGGTTTGAATCCGAGTGACGGGGTTTGTCTTGTTGCTCTGTCCCAGCTCCTGCCAACCTTAGTAGTTCAAAAGCATACCAACGTGAGTAGATAAATAGGAACCGCTGCAGCGGGATGCAAGCAGCATTTCTGCTGCAC